TTAAACCGTTAATGCGTTTTATTTAAATATGTACTACTCGCGTAAACTACAGGCAGTATTTAATTGAACATTTTCTTAATAAATTGTTTTACCTCTGGGCATGAATTCTTAAACCTCTTATTTCCTATATCTGTATATGTACTTAATAGGAATATATGCATTGCGGGAAGTGAAACTCGCCTTTATAAGGCGGAGCCACTGCGTATTAAATACCATTGTTCTCAGCAAACAGTTAGACCTTCTCGCCAAACTAGGGACAAAGTTAACTAGACTGAGTTCTATCGACTGTGGTAATGCGTGAAAACTGCGCTATATCTTAGAATACGTTTACAAACAGTATCTACCTATAAGAGAAAAAGTTGCGATGTTCTTCGAAATCGTTTGACTTAAAATTAATTGCGTAAATATATGAAACAATTAACTTGCAATAAAATACAAAATAGCGTATATTTTGCAATATATATAAAAGTATATCGACCTCACTTCTGTGTCCGTTTCCTTGATCGCTCCTTTACAGGTAAGTAGTTGATCTGAGAGTTCTGTGCCCTACCCGACCGAAACAACATATTGTTTTCCTTGGATTCGAACCCAAGAGCACTCTCATGAACTTCGATTATTTTTTTCTGCACTTACGAGGAACCAGTACAATTCCTAGTTAGTTAGCGAAAAAATATTGAAATTCTATATCTTATACATAGTTAAATACTTAACAGAAAATATGTAGTTATAGATTAAAGAACTATTGTAATATAAACAATGCGTTGAAAAAGTCTTCATAAACAGTGTGACCACAGAGTCATTTATTCTGAGAAATCAATAAGAGTGATTTAATACAAAGCGAACAATACAAGTTTTTATCGGCGAAAACCGGCTGGCGCCTTATAGGGTCAGATCTAGCTTAGCTCAAAGAAAGCTTCGTCTATCTGCCCTTAAGTGTTGCTCTGTTTATGGGCTTTGAACTTTACGAAGTCAAAAGGAGAACTGAGAATAATTGAAACATATTTTTTTTTTTTTAGATCGACGTCAATTCGATTTTTAATTCGATCATTTTAAATCGTTTTAGACGAATAAATTAATCATTTAAAAAAAAATATGAGATGCAAGGAAGGTAGTTGCATATAAAGTGAGTCAAATTTTGTAGTGTAAATGGGTAAAGGAATACTTAGAAGATATAATTGAAAAGCCGTGTCTAATAATCTTTGAATTATGTTAAAACTCTTTGGGAATGGATTACGTTAATCGCTGTCAATTAAAATAAGGAAGAGATGTTAAATTCAACTTCAGTGTTACCACTATTTATCTAGTTCAAATTCTATAGTGTAGCTAGATATATAGTATGAAAATTTCAACTATTTATTTATTTTATGTGATTTAAAATGCGATTTGTAATTTTTTTTTATGTTTAGACTTTTTTGAGTAATGATTTCGATAGCTATTGATTTTATTGTTTCTAATATTATTTTATTAAACATTTTTAATACTGTTTGGAGAAACAACTTTCTTTCCATTTTTAAAATCGATTTCTTTAAAAAGACTTCTTGTCTGTAGTGCCATCTTTCGGCAGCTATAAGCTTTTAAAATATCTTCTAGAAGTTTTGGCATCTTTGAAGTATCGCTTCTTGACGCTATTTGCTCAAATGGGCAAATAAATTTACCTCTTGACATCGCGTGTTCATAACTACGTTCCAAAAACATTTGGACGAGCAAAATAATTGTTAACTATTACCAATTTCACGGAGGTAACGTGTTTGACGATTCGGGAATTTTAATTTAAAACCAAAGAGTGAACGTAGCTTTGCCGAAATATAAATGAGAATGCATAAAATTAATCAAAATTAATGACTCTAAATATTGATGATTGTTATAAGATTAACTTGAAAGATAATGGCAAAAAATAGAGGAACCATTTTAATTAACTAAATGAATTAAACCTCTATGGTAAATTAATAAATCAATAAATTGTTAAAATTACAGTACTCTGTGTACATTTGGACATTACAATTTTTAATCTGTTATCAAATACAAACATGGCGGATATATACTTCTCACGACTATTTCGCGGAAGCGCGTTTGTGGGCGAAGATATTTTTATGTGTATTTGCTTATCAGGGAACTCTTTCCCACGCTCTGTTATCATTCGCTGTTTTTTTATATATTTTAATATGTTATGGTCAATTCAGGACATGTCCAAGCACGTTTGGATAGAAAAAATATTGCTTAATCATATTTAGTAAGTCATCCTATCGGCAACCTACTCCTGTATACACTCAGTAGACAAGAAGAGAAACAAACTGTGGGTAAATATATATGCTGTAGATATTTTTTTCGCTCTTACGTCAGAAGAAGACAGTCATTGGTTTCGTTTGATGAAAGGTAAAAATTAAAATGCCTGTCGACCTATTAAGGCGTTGGATATTCCAAATTTAAAATTCTAATAAGATCCCAGCGTGATCACTTAGCTTAAATATGCCAGTACTTCCTACATGATCTTTTTGGACTCCTAACCTGTAAAGAAGGCACAAGGAAACGAAAAAAAAATCGTTATGCCATCTGCCATCAAATTCCAGCGAGTCACGATCCGCTTTGACTATATTAGGGCACTTAAATTATTCATGAAACAAGACGGAGCATTAATTTCACGATTTCGTTAAAACCGGTAAACACCAGGAGTCGAGGGATAAAAAGGGATGCCGTATATGGCGGACTGCTTTTCCACTTTTTGTTCAATCTGAGGTGTAAGACCCCATCATGTGCTCGCCGTCAAGTGATTGTGTATTGTCTTCACGTGTAGCCAATTATTAACGTTTTTGACTCTAATAGGAGTACTTATTGACTAAAAACCAAAGTACGTTTGTGCAGCTAAAATTTTCTTTCTTAACGTGTAGCGGAAAAGATTACGCTAAGTATTATCTGTAGTACACATAAAAAGAAAACATTTTTAACGGTTTTAAAGGCGAAATCCATTAGTTATCTTATTTACCATTTATATTAACGGGTCCCAGTAACTAACTACGTCTGCTGCAAAGCATTCGGAACGTCGGGCTGTAACTTAAATTATATTTGAAATAAGTTAACTACTTAGTTCTTTTCGCGATTTAAACCGTTAAAAGTGTTTTATTTAAATGGTAAAGTTAAAACGGTTAATAATATTTTATGGATATATGTATATGTATAACGATTTATTGTAGAATTATTAAAAAACACAAATGTAAGTTTTTAAAGTAAAGAAATATGTTTTAAACATTTTCCCATCCGTTTTTGACAGTGACTGAGTGAGTACCGTTTATAACGACAGTGCAGAATCCTTTAAACGGCATTAAGCGTTTTTTTTTTTTGGTCCGTCCGAACAAATTATCTCATTTATCGTCGAATTAAATACCTCTAGTACGACGCTATAATAAATTAATCAATTTTCAAACTCCTGCGTCACATTAATCTTAGATGAGATTCACTTCGAGATATCGGGATTTAAGTGATTCGGAAGTTTAATCGAGCAGAATTGAGAATCGATATCGGTTTATTAATCGAGACCACCCATCGATCGGAAACGCATTTTTAATCGATATAGAAAAAGCGAGAATTTTTATTTACTCGATACTACAGAGTAAATATTAGTGTAAAATGTGATAAGGTTAACATATTTTGTGGTATAACCGCTTCGCAATTTTGTCTTTCAAGTACGAGAGCGCAGAAAAAAAAGCTAGCCGCGACTTCGTCCGCGTGGAATAGTTATTTTTGGCATTATTTGTCTGTCTGTAATTTACGAGTAATACACATTTAAATAAAACACTTTAAACGGTTTACGCAAAACGGTCTCTACAAAAAATATATATTGTAAGTAATTAAACACAAAATGTTTTAACGATACAAAAAACATTGTAGTTTGTACACAATGGACGGTCTTTGTTTAAAAGACCTACGGTTTTTAAAATTGTAAATTGGTAATCTTAAATTAAGATATAGGCTTATCTATCCTATTGTTTTTTTTAACACTCATGTATAAAAGGAACACGGTTCGAGAAACCAAAAATATATACCACGGGGACCCGTGACCACGGCTGCTGCAAAGCATCCGTGGTCACGTAGTTAAAAATTATTTTTAAACAAGTTTAATATAAATGTATCGCGTACATTTAGGTTTTAAACAAAGACCGTCCATTGTGTACAAACTACAATGTTTTTTGTATCGTTAAAACATTTTGTGTTTAATTACTTACAATATATATTTTTTGTAGAGACCGTTTTGCGTTATATTTATCTTTGATAAAATTACCGTTACAAAATCATGCAACTTATCGTTAAGTAAACGACATGACATTTTGATCGGCGCGTGTGGGAATTGACTTAGTGTAAATAGACATACATATATGTACACACACACTCACACACATATATATATATAATATAATAATACTTTTTGGATTTTATCAAAAAATCTATTAAAGTAGTGAATAATTAGATAACACGAAACTGCAAAAAAGAAATACGCTCATTAATAAAAGCCAAAAGTATAAAAAAACAATGTCAATGATAAAACAAAAGAGGCAAGTTCTGGTTCGAATCCTGGAGAAACATAATTATAATTAGATTTGGTCGGGAAGAGCACAGAACTCTCAAATTGTCTGATTAAAATGAAATTAGTGTTTTAAGACACACGTTTTAATTCTTTCAAAAAAAGTCAAAGTTTTAGAAAACAAGTATAGACTACACAACGATGTAGTCTATATCTTCGTCAGCCCACGTTAAAAATCATTTTCAAATAGGTTTACCTAATATATCGCGTTTTAAACCGTTAAAGTGTTTCATTTAAAACTGTACTGCTCGCGCAAACTATAGACAGTATTTAAATATATTTTTTTTGCCATGTCTGTAAATACAATTTATTAATAAAACATTTACTTGAAAAGAAGAGATTTTCGCTTGCTAGTTTTTCATTTATATATACAGGAAAAACATTGTCCGTATCGATTTCTGAATATTAAAGCTATGTTTCGTTCCAGGTTTTGTGTCATGTTCGCCGTCACCGTGCAAGAACGGCGGAACCTGTCTTTCGACGCCACGAGGAGAATATTTTTGCAAGTAAGTTTTTACACGAGCTCACGTTTTAGTATTGAGTAATCCTGTTTAGAGAAATGACAAGTAAAAGTCTTTGGATTGAAAAGGACGCTAAACATGTGTGAAAAGTTTACGATATTCAATACGCAGAGTAGCTATTATTTGTTAGGTCCACAGCACGGCGTGCGCTGGTCGTAGATTCGAGTTCTGTCTGTGTCGATTTTTCAATCTAAAAGACTACTCTAAATGCCTTATATACAAATGCATAAAACTAAGTTGAGGTCTAAAAAATAATACCGTTTTAGAAATATATAGTAAGAAAAATAAAGTCATATATACAACATAGTCCCTTTGAATAATCATAGTATGGTAAGCACCGACCTATTGATGTCGTTACCTTACCCTCTCTAAACTTTTATCGTTTCGCCTTATACGTCATTCAGGAACGAACAAAATAGATAAAACTATTACTATCTGTTCTCGAATGGTAGTGCAGTGAAAACTGATATCGTGAGAACCGTGAATGTTATGCAATTCGAATGAAATTGACCTAAGGAAATAGTTCTTCACTGGAGAACCCTACGACATTTTTGACGAATGTATCTTAATATGTACTATCTAACTGCTTAGTGCTTATACTACATTAAAAATTCGAGGTTTTCATTTGCCTCGACAGATATTAAAAGTTTTATTTTCACCTGTAGTTTTTAAAATACTAGTTTACAGTGTCAACTCGAACTATACTCGATCAGGCAAATAGTAGAGGTAATTCTCGGCGGCCACCTTTGTTTCCATCATTGCGGTGCTCATTAAAATCGCTGCCCTCTATGGAGGTGCCAGATACGGAGGTGAGAGGACCCTCGTTATCCCCGGAATGCTCTGATTACTTGTTTACTTATACTTTGTTATAAAAGGACGTATACACGCGCGGGGAACTATATTAGCGTATGTTTTACGGAACCTTCTTTTTTAGTATATTTTTATTATTATTAGGGAAAAGAATAATTTTGTCTTAGGAAGTAAAATAACCGATAAATTAAAAACTATAAATTGAATACAGACATGGACAGGACTTGACAGGGTAGCTCAATTGGTTAGAGCAAGAGCGCGAAACGCTTTGGAAGTCCTGCCCGTGTCGTATTTTTTTTTAATTTGTGCGATAACATGTGGAAATTATTAAAATTTTCAATATAACCGACACTTAACCGAAGATATAATGTTTATTTAAAAAAACGTATCTTTAAAAGCGTTTTAAAAAAGGTCTTCGTGGAATGCCTGCCGCGCTTATAAATAATCTAATTGGGAAACAAGCTGAGTATATATATAGTCAAATATATAACCAGACAAACTAAATGTTAATATTCTTAGTCAATATTCATTACTCAATTTTAAAAGCTTGTCCATTGTCATAATTTCACGCAGCATTCACCCATAATCGGAGAATAAGATCTCTTTCGTGACAATTTAAAAACCAACAGAATCTTTTAGCGCTGTCAATGTCAGATGTAAGCGATAACAGATTAAAATCGGTGTCGGTGAACTATCGTCTGTGGGTAATGGGCGGGATTTTTCTTTTTACGCTATGAGTATTGAAGTATAGAAAAATGTAAATGTATTATTAGTTTTAGATATACATGAGTACTACATACAATGTCTAAAATATATTTGTCATCCTTTTTTTAGTTTTTTTTTGTATTTTCAATTAGTACATATTTTAAACAGACGTAGGCAAATATTTTTTATCCGTTTTGTATAATTGCCCATGGAAATTAATATCTACATTTTTTTTTAAATTTCCTATTTCAATATTTACCTCTTTTCGTTATCAATAATCTCAACATACTTACATATAAATATGGATACACCAACCAAAATAAAGTAGGGCTGTAAAAATTTAACGACATCGTTAAGTTACAACATAGTAACTGTTACATCGACACTTAACGACACCATTCATTTATTTTATGGACCAATTCAATAAGCTCTAGAAATCATCTTTAATTTAGATATAAAGTAACTACGATGCGCAGAAAATAGTCACATTATATAAGACAACATTACCGTTATGAAATAGAAATTTACGCGAAGCTTAGTTAGTTCTAAACTGCCTCTAAAAATTTTGTCATTGGCGAGACTTGTACCTACAACCTCATTACATTTTTGACTATAAAATGAACTATGACTATGAAATAAATAAGCGAATTCATAAAGTGCAGTTAGGTTACTCTGCCTCTAGCAGCCTCATGTGTATATATTATTAAAATTTCTTTTTGGTCGTCTGTTGCCCCAGCAGACATGTGTCATTAGAGCATCTCGTCACGACAAAAATGAGAGCACGGGTCATACATATTCATTGCGACGTCTCGGTACATCGTTAACAGCTCAGCTTTTATGGCAATTGCGAAATATTATAATACGAGGCGTGTACCCGCGGATACGAATTATGTTACGGTTAAAATTTATTAGGCAGGGGTCGATAACATTTGGTAAGTTTATATATCTAGATTAGAAGCATTTACCACAAGTTTCGTATATTTTATAGGGATTTATTTATTTAATAAAGCTTACTAAGTACCCAAGCGTGTTTTAAACTACTTAAGCTAATTATAGTAAGTATTAGGGATGGGCCGAGTACTCGGTTTATGCTCGATACTCAGCGTGCTCAGCGGCTTTTTTAATACTCGTATTTAGTTATACGTTGTCATTTGATAACGAGTATGCTTTGTTTAAAAATAGAAATATATTAAGGTAGATATAATTTAAACAATGTTAATACAAAAGTATTCATTAGTAATTCAGAAAATCTTTAAAAATTATCAATTAATAAACGCGTTCGCGTTTGGGTGTGAGGGATGTATCAAGCGACTGTTACTCGGCCGAGTACTCGGTTGAAAAATAATTGAGCCGAGTAAAACTCGGTACTCGTTACTCGGCGCATGTCCAGTTAGTATAATTCTCATGTACCTTTCCTAATTATGCATAGCGTTGACTATAAATATGTATATAGAGAGTTACAGACATACACACTGAAAAAAAAAACACGTAAACTGATTTATCCTAGTTAATTCCACATAATAATATAATCTGTAAGACAAATTTACTTATTAAGATATTGAAAGACTTGTCTTTTGAAATTTTTAATAGAAGTAAAAAGTTCTTAAATACTGTATTAAAAAGTCTAGGTTACGGATATAATTAATATTAAATATATATTTCCCTCTCTCAGTTTGTACATTCTATTTAAATTGTATAATAGACAATGTCGATAATTCAAAACAATGAAATGTTGTGTGCTTCTGTAATAGAACTTCACACGGCGCTTGCGCAAGGGAAAGCCGATGAGTGGCCAAATGTAGCAAGGACAGTTGGGTAATTTCAGTTTAGATTTTACGTGTCCACTTCTATTTGTGTTTTCGGGGAATTTTGATAAAATCGCAGTTACAATTGAAATTATTATATTATAACATATTATAGAAAGTATTAATTCAATATAACTACGTCCCGACGTTGAGGAAGGGGTGGGGCGGGGGGGGTCACTGTTGTTTTCCTTATAAAAAACAAAACAACATCTTATTAATGTTAGACTTAGCCCTTTCTGTTACGTAACGCAAGGTATATCATTAGTAAATGTCTCAAGTAAATGGGTTTATAATAAGGGTAACACGAGTTGCATTAGTTTAATCGCACCCAATAATATTAGACTACCTTGTTACGCCGGATGAAAAGATAGATTATTTTATTAGAAAGGGGGTTCTGTATGTGCTTAAAACCAAAACATACAGATAAGCTGCCTGTATAGTCTAAACTTTTTTTTTTACATTCGGAAATCACAGACTGGACTGGGTTTAAAGTTGACGGCTTATTCATCTGTGGACCGTGGACGTGATCAGGACGGGATTTCGATATTTACGACCCATTTAATTTCGAGATAAAATTCAATATCTTTTAGAAAAATTAAAAATTCCTTACAAAATATGTTGGACCCGGTGGGAATGGACCTACGACCCATTGATCACATACATTGCTACCGCTACATTAAGATTGTATATCATCTACCATCAAGTAAAGCTTGTCTGTACTCTGTAAAAAAGTCGGCATTCATTGTCTGATTGTCATTTTACGGATCCCTATAGTCTCATCTATTTGACTTGGCTTCGAGAAGATAATAGCATCCACTTCCTCAAATTCGTTTTGTGATGACTCGGCGTTGTGCGTGAGAAGTTCAATATTTTTTCTCTTATTTATCTATTTAACATTTGTCGTAGTTTTTTGTCCCTTTGACTGCTTTCATGAAAAATATCAATTTCGATTTTTTTTAAAATTTAATCTGAACGATATTCATTTATTTTTTATTTATAAACACCTAAAATCTTTATCTAACAATATATACAGCGGGATTTGAACCTACAGCATTCGGTACTGTTGTATGTTTTAAATTAAGCTATCAAATGCAAAAACATATAAAAATTATAATGTTCTATGCCTATAAATGTTTCATAAGTATTTTACGATTGATATTTGACAATTATCGCAACTTCCAATACTAGTCCCTGCTGAACGTTTAAGATGTTATGCAGCTGTGGTCATGGGGGGAAAATAAATGAATTTGTAAATAAGTTTAACTAATACATTTCGCATTTTTACCGTTAGAAAAGTTTTATTTAAATACATTTTATCTGTTTCCCGGCGTTTCAACAGGCTAGTTGACTGGATGGTCGTGGGTTAGTTCTCATCTTGTCTAGATGCTAAATGGGGTACCTAATACTACTATCAGTGAACCACATGCCTATCTGCCCTCCTCTAACATAAAGAAAGGATTCGTGGCAAAAGACAATTTGTAGATCCTAAGGTGATCAAGATGAATAATCTAATCCACAAAAAGCAAAATCCAATAAGACATAATAGTATTGAATGCGGGCATTATTATGCGATGTCTCGGAATGTCGGCTTTGACTGACTCGGTCTTAGCCACCGATTACTTTAAACGACGAGTTTACAATCTCACACGGCCCTCTTAGTTCGTT